ACCACCACACCTGGCTAATTTTTGTATTTTTAGTAGAGATGGGTTTTCACCATGTTGGTCAGGCTGGTCTCAAACTCCTGACCTCTAGTAATCTGCCCTCCTCGGCCTCCCAGAGTGCTGGGGTTACAGGCTTAAGCCTTCCTTTCCAATTTGGTTGCCCTTTCTTTCTCTTGTCTGATTGCTTTAGCTAGGATTTCCTGAACTATGTTGACTAACAGTGGTGTAAGTGGGCGTTCTTGTTGTGTTCCAGATCTTAGAGGAAAGGCTTTCCATTTCCCCCCGTTCAGTATGATACCAGCTGTGGATCTGTCACATGTAGCTTTTATTGTGTTGAGGTATGTTCCTTCTATACTCGGTTTTTTGAAGGATTTTATCATGAAGGAATGTTGAATTTTATAAAGTGCTTTTTCAGCATCAATTGAAATAGTCATATGGGTTTCGTCCTTCATTCTGCTGATATAATGTATTGCATTAATTGATTTTCATATCTAGTACCATCCTTGCACATTTGGTCATGATGAATGATCAGTGATGAATTTAATGTGTTGTTGAATTCAGTTTGCTAGTATTTTGTTGAAGATTTTTGCATCAGTGTTTATTGGGGATAATAGCTCATAGTTTTTTTTGATGTGTCTTGGTCTGGTTTTGGCATAAGGGTAATACTGGCTTCATAGAATGAATTTGTAAGTATTCCCTCCTTCTCTAGTTTTCAGAATAGTTTGAGTAGAATTGGTATTAGTTTTCTTTAAACGTTTGATAAAGTTCAGTAGGAAAGCCATTGGGTCCCTGGTTTTCCCTGGCAGACAGACTTTAAAAATTTTCTTCTTAATTTCTTCATTGATCCTCTGGTCATTCAGGAGCATATTGTCTAATTTTCATGTGTTTCTACAGTTTCCAAAATAATTTGTTATTGATTTCTAGTTTTATTCCATGTGGTCAGGGAAGATTCTTATTTTTCTTTTTTTAATTTTAAAGACTTGTTTTGTGGTCTAGTAGATGGTCTATCCTTGAGAATAATTTATGTATTGGGAAGAATGAGGATTCTGCACCCATTGGAGGAAATGTTCTGTAAATATGCATTAGGTCCATTTGGTCCATAGCACAGAAGTCCAATGTCTCTTTGGTGATTTTCTGTCTGATGATGTGTACGTTGCTAAAAGTGGGGTATTGAAGTCTCCAGCTATTATTGTATTGAGTTCTATCTTTCTCTTTAGCTTTAATAATTGTTGTATGTATCTGGGCTCCAGTGGTGGGTGCATATATGTTTCCAATTGTTATATCCTCTTGCTGTTATATAATTATATAATTATATATATAATTATATAATTATAATTATATAATTATATATATAATTATATAATTATAATTATATAATCCTCATTATTATATAATTACCTTCCTTGTCTTTTTCTTTATAGTTTTTGTCTTCAAAACTTTTTTTTTTTTTTTTTTTGACATGGAGTCTCACTCTGTCACCCAGGCTAGAGGGCAGTGGCGCTATCTTGGCTCACTGCAACCTCTGCTTCCTGGGTTCAAGCAGTTTTCCTGTCTCAGCTCCACCAAGTAGCCAGGACTGTAGGCACAGGCCACCAAGTCTGGCTAATTTTAGTATTTTAGTAGAGATGGGGTTTCACCATGTTGGTCAGGCTGATCTCAAACTCCTGACCTCAGGTGATCCACTCACCTTGGCCACCCAATGTGCTTGGGATCACAGGCATGATCCACTGTGCCTGGTCATTTTTTTGTCTTGAAATCTATGTTGTTTGATATAAGTATAGCTACTCCTGCTGTCTTTTCATATCCATTGGCATGGAGTATCTTTTTCCATCCCTTTATTTTCAGTCTATGTGAGTCTTTATAAGCAACAAATCATTGGGTCTTTTTTAAAAAAATATTCAGCCACTCTCTCTTTTGATTAGAGAGTTTAGTCCATTTACATTCAATGGGATTATTGATAGGTAAGGACTTAACTCCTGCCATTTTGTTATTTGTTTTCTGGTTGCTCTGTAGTCTTCTACTTCTTTCCTTGATTCTGTCTTCCTTTAAGTGAAGGTGATTTTTTCTGGTGATGTGTTTAATTTCTTGTTTTTGTATCTGTGATATGTTTTTTGATTTGAGGTTACCATGAGGCTTGCAAATAATATAACCTATTATTTTAAACTGATGACAACTTAACACTGATTGCATAAACAAAGACACAAACTAACAAAAAAGCAAAGAGAAAACTAATAAAAACTCAACACTTTATCTTCATCCCCCTACTTTTAAACTTTTTTTGTCATTTCTATTTACATCTTATTGTGCTGTCTAGGTCTTGAAAAGTCATTGTAGTTGTTATTTTTGATTGGCTCATTGTTTAGTCTTTCTACTCAAGATATAAGTAGTTTACCCATCACAATTACAATGTTATAATATTCTTCTTTTCTTTTCTTTTCTTTTTTTTTGAGATGGAGTCTTTTTCTGTTGCCCAATCTGGAGCACAGCAGCATGATCTTGGCTCACTGTAACTTCCATCACCTGGATTCAAGCAATTCTCCTGCCTCGGCCTTCCAAGTAGCTGGGACTATAGGCATATGCCACCACACCTGGCTAATTTTTGTATTTTTAGTAGAGATGGGGGTTCACCATGTTGACCAGGCTGGTCTCAAACTCCTGACTTCAACTGATCCACCTGCCTTGGCCTTCCAAAGTGCTAGGATTATGGGTGTGAGCCACTACACTCAGCCTATTCTGTGCTTTTCTATGGAGTTACCATTCCCAGTGAGTTTTGTACTTTCAGATGATTTCTTTCTTTTTTTTTTTTTTTGAGACGGAGTTTTGTTCTTGTTACCCAGCCTGGAGTGCAATGGCACGATCTTGGCTCACTGCAACCTCCGCCTCCTGGGTTCAGGCAATTCTCCTGCCTCAGCCTCCTGCAGATGATTTCTTAGTGCTTATTAACATTCTTTGCTTTCAGGTTGAAGAACTTCGCTGCTGAAATCCCTCAGTTTTTGTTTGGGAAATTATTTCTCTTTTATGTTTGAAGGATACTTTTGCTGGATACACTATGTTGGGAGAAAAGTTTCTTCCATCAGCACTTTAAATATGTCACATCACTCTCTTTTGGCCTATAAGATTTCTACTGAGAAGTCTACTGCCAGATATATTGGAGCACCATTGTATGTTTATTTATTTATTTATTTTTTCTTTTTGAGATGGAGTTTCACTCTGTCGTCCAGGCTAGAGTGCAGTGGTGTGATTGCAGCTCACAGCAATCTCTGCCCCCGAGGTTCAAGCAATCCTCCTACCTCAGCCTCCCAAGTAGCTGGGATTACAGGCACCCACCACCACTCCCAGTTAATTTTTGTGTTTTTAGTGGAGTGGGTTTCGCCATGTTGGCCAGGCTGGTCTGGAACTCCTGACCTCAAGTGATCCACCTTCCTTGGCCTCCCAAAGTGCTGGGATTACAGGGGCGAACCACCGCACCTGGCCTCCATTGTATGTTCTTTCTTTTTTATTGCTGCTTTTGAACCCTTTCTTCTCCTTGACCTTTTGGAGTTTGATTATCAAATGTTTTGAGGTAGTCTTATTTGGATTAAATCTGCTTAGTGTTCTATAATGTTCTTGTACTTGAATATTGATATCTTTCTCTAGAGTTGGGGAGTTCTCTGATATTATCCCTTTGAATAAAGTTTCTCTCCCTATCTCTCCCTACCACCTCTTTAAAGCCAATAAATCTTAGATTTTCCCTTTGGAGGCTATTTTCTAGATCTTCAAAGCATACGTTATTCTTTTTAACGATTTTTCCTTTGTATCCTATGACTGTGTATTTTAAAATAGCCTGTCTTCAAGCTCATTAATTCTTTATTCTGCTTGATCAATTCTGCTGTTAAGAGACTCTGATAGGCTGGGTACTGTGGCTCACATCTGCAATCCCAGCACTTTGGGAAGCCAAGGCAGGTAGATCACTTGAGTTTATGAGTTCAAGACCAGCCTGGGCAACATGGTAAAGCCCTGTCTCTGCCAAAAATTAACAAAAAATTAACCAAGTGTAGTGGTGTGTGCCTGTGGTCCCAACTACTCAGGAGGCTGAAGTAGGAGGATTGCTTGAGCCAACGAGGTAAATGTTGCAGTGAGTCAAGATTGCACCACTGTACTCTAGCCTGGGTGACAGAGTGAGACCCCATCTCAAAAAAAATAAAACAAAAAGACAGAGATAGATAGACTCTGATATATTATTCTTCAGTATGTTCCTTACACTTTTCAACTCTAGAATTTCTGCTTGATTCTTTTTAATTGTTTGAATTTCTTTGTTAAATTTATCTGATAGGATTTTGAATTCTTTTCCTGTATTATAATGAATTTCATTGAGTTTCCTCAAAACAGCAATTTTTTGTATTATCTGTATGAAAAATCACCTATTTCCATCTCTTTGATTGGTCACTGGTGCCTTATTTAGCTCAAATGGTGGAGTAATGTTTTCCTGAATGGTCTTGATGCTTGTGGAGTTCGTTGGTGTCTGGGCATTGAAGAGTTGAGTGTTTATTGTAGTCTTTGAAGTTTGGGCTTGTTTGTACTCGTCCTTCTTCAGACAACTTCCAGGGTATTCAGAGGGTCTTGGGTGTTGTGATCTAAGTTTTTGGTCACAATAGCCAGATCTGCATGAGGGAGAACCCCAAGCCCAGTGATGCTGTGGCTCTCACAGACTTGTAGACTTGTAGAGGCATTGCCTTGGTGTTCTTAGATCAGATCTGGAAAAATTCCCTGGATTACCAGGCAGAGGCTCTTGTTCTCTTCCCTTACTTTCTCCCAAACAAATGGAATCTCTCTCTGCTGAGCTGTCTGGAGCTGGGGGTGGGACGACATAAGCACCTCTGTGGTTACCACCACTGGGACTATGCTGGTCAGGCCTGAAGCCAGCATAGCACTGGGTCTCACCTGAGGCCCTCGGTAACCGTTGCCTGGCTACCACCTGTGTTTGTGAAAGGCCCTAGGGCTATACCATTAACAGGTGGCAAAGTCAGCCAGGCTTGTGTTCTTCTCTGCAGGGAAGCATATTCCCCCTGTTCCCAGGTGGGTCCAGAGATGTCACCTGGGAGCTGGGGCCTGGTGCTGGAAACTTTAGGCGTCTATCTGGTGCTCTATTCTACTGTGGCTGAGCTTGCACCCAAGCTACAAGGTGACTTCCTTCCCACTCTTCTGTCCCCTTTCTAAAGTAGAGGAGTCTCTTCTTAAGGCCGGCGTTGTCCCAGGTGAGTACTGCCTGGCCACTGCTGATGTTCACTCAAGACTCAAAGGCTCTTCACTCAGCTTGTAGTGAATGCTTCTAGACCCCGGACTCTCCCTTCAGGGCAGTGGGCTCCCCTCTGGCTCAGGGCAGGTTCAGAAATATCATCTAAGGGCCAAGGCCTGGAATCAGGAACCCTTGCAGCCCACTCGGCGCTCTACCAAACTGTGGCCGAGCTGGTACCTAAGCCTCAAACAAAGTCCCCTTTACTCTTACCTCTCCTTTTCTCAAGCAGAAGGAATCTCTTCCCATAGCCGCTGCAGTTTCAAATGTGCTGGGTCACACCTGAAGCCAGCACATCCCTGAGTCTCACCTGAGGCCCCTGGTGAGTACTGCCTGGTTGCTGTGTTTTCAGAGCCTGGGACGTTTTAGTCAGCAGGTGATGGACAGTGCCAGGACTAGGTCCTTGCCTTCAATGCAGTGGGTTTCTTTCTGGGCCGGGGTGTATCTAGGGATATCATCCAGGAGCTACGGCCTGAGTGGGAGCCTCAGAACTCTGCCTGGTGCCCTGTCCTACTGTGGCTACGCTCGTATTCACATTGCAAGGCAAAGTCCTCTTTCTTCTTCTCTCTCTGCTCCTAAAGCAGAAGGAAGGAGTCTTTCCCAGAGCTGCCAGCTATGCTGCCTGTAGTTGGGGGAGGGTTGGCATAAGCACTGCCTTGGACACCATAGCTAGTGTTTCACTAGGTCATGTGGCCCCCAAGCGCTCTGGCTCCAAGCCCGTGACAGGACCAGGACTTGCCCAGAAATTGCAGCCCTCGTGGTGGAGACTGCCTCTCAAGTTTATTTAGAACCCCAGAGCACTTTAGCCCATGGAGGCAAGACTTGCCAGAACCCAAGTTCTGACTGTTGGTATGGATGGTTTCCTCTGGCTGGGGCTTTTCTAAACGCTCCCTCTGTGGTTGTTGCCTGACTTCTGCCTGGTGTTGTTTTCTGCTGTCAGGCAAGCACTGATTTCCAACACAAAGTCCCACAGTCACTGTGCTGTCCCCGCCTCAATTGCACAGGTTACCTCTCCAGGCCTCATGGCTGCAGCTGGAGAATGGGGGAGGAATGGCAGAGGCGTCTCAAGACTGTCTTTTCTACTCTCTCCAGCGTCTCTTTCAGTGATATGAAGTTAAAACCAGGTACTGTAATTACTCACCTGATGTCAGGTTCTTATCGAGGTGTGTTTTTGTGTGTGTAGATAGTTGTTTAATTTGATATTCTTGTGTTGAGGACAATTGGTGGAGGCTTCTATTCAGCCATCTTGCTCCGACTTCTGGCTATTATCATTTTGAACAAACTGTTATCTATCAGATCAATTAAGAATAAAAAGATAAAACTGTATTTTACCTTCACTTAGTCCTTCTCTCATGTCCTTACTTTCTTTAGTAGATCTGAATTTCTGACCTGTATATTTTTCTTGTCAGAAGAGCTTCTTTTAAAAATTCTTGCAAGGTAGGTCTACCTGTAACAACTTCTCTCAATTTTTGTTTGTCTGAGAAAGTCTTTGAGACTTTGTCTTTCTTTCTTTTTTTTTTGGATTTAAAGTTTAAGTATAAATGTTCTTCAGTCATTTAGTAAATTTCAAAGCCAAGTCACTAAAGACAGAGGCTAGCAATTTTCTTCCATCAGTCACTAATAACAGACTATGTCTGGGGTCAGTGGCCTTCATCAGCAGGTGAAGATTCATTCACCTTCCTTGGTGAGTGAATCTGATCCTGTGAGGAGAGAATGAAGTGTCTTCTTCAGTTTCTTACCCTGGAGGCTCTTGATTTCCCTCTTGGGATTCTGTGTCTCCCATCAGTCCTTGTGGAAACTTGAATTTAGATCTTAAAAAGATGCTGTACAAAATATGGTGGATACCCCACTCATTGCATACCATCAGCAGCAGGACGAGCAACAGTGTGGCCTTGAACACAAGCAAGTTAGCCCAATATTGTGCCACATCTTGGGGGGAGGAGGGTGGTTGGCTCAGGGCACCTGGCAGGTACTGTGGAGGGAATAGGTGAGTAGGCAGATGGTGTGTCTCAGGCTTCAGTGGAGGGTATCCAGCATGGCAGGGCATCCCTTGTCCTTCACTTCAAAAAAAATGATTTAAAAAATATATACATAGATGTACTTATTTGTAATGATCAAATCAGTCTATGACATTTGTCATCTTAAATATTTGTATTTTCTTTATGCTAGAAACATTCTCTTCTAGCAATTTAAAAAAAAATAAACATTTTTTTACAGATGGTGTCTCACTCTGTCACCCAGGTTAGACTGCAGTGGTGTAACAGATCTCACTGCAGCCTCAGACTCCCAGGCTCAAGTGATCCTCCCACCTCAGCTTCCTGAGTAGCTGAGACTGCAGGTGCATACCATGATGCCTGGCTACTTTTTACAAAATTTTTTGGTAGAGACAGAGTTTCACTGTGTTGCCCAGGCTGGTCTCGAATTCCTAGGCTCAAGCAATCCTTCTGCCTTGGCCTCCCAAAATGTTGGGATTATAGGCATGAGCCACCACACCTGGCTGCTTCTAGCTATTTTGGAATATACAATACGTTTATTGCAAACTATAGTCACTCTATCTATCTATTAAACATTAGGTCTTAGTTCTTCTATCAAACTGTATTTGTACCTATTAGTCAACCTTTCTGTATGCCCCTCTCTCCTTCCCAGCCTCTGGTAACTACTGATCTACTCTCTATCTTCCTATGCTTTATGTTGAAATATACTTTTTGAGCTCCCACATATGGGTGAGAACATGTGGTATTTGGTTCTGAGCTTATTCTATTTCCTCAAACTGTTTTGTCTTTTAGTCTGCCTTGTCAGTTTCTTTTTTGAGACCCAGACCTGGTGTCTTGCATGTTGGGTTCGGAAAACTTGTTTTTTTAGTTTATAGATTCTCTGGATCAAGATAAATTATAACCAAACCTGATGTGGAGACAAATTATCCTTCATGGACTTTGAGTTTGATATGATTGTTTTTCCCCACTTAGGGAGACGGTGTGTATATTTTGTCAGAATATTTGGTGAGCAGATGGGTGGATTATTTTCAGCTGAAAACAGATTATTTTCAGCTCTCTGCCAACCAGACACTTGGTAAGTTGCAGCTCCTTCATCATTTGTGATTGGTGGGGCCACGTGACCACTTTTTATTTTATTTTTTACTTTATTTATTTTTTTTTTTTGAGACCGAGTCTCACTCTGTTGCCCAGGCTGGAGTGCAGTGGCACAACCTTAGTTCACTGCAGCCTCTCCCTCCTGGGTTCAAGCAGTTCTTGTGCCTCAGCTTCCCGAGTAGCTGGGGTTACAGACCTGTGCCAGCACATCTGGCTAATTTTTGTATTTTTAGTAGAGACAGGGTTTTTCCTTCTTGGCCAGGCTCATCTGGAACACTTGACCTCAGGTGATCCACCCACATCAACCTCCCCAAGAACTGAGATTACAGGCGTGAGCCACTGTGCCTGGCCACATGACCAGCTTTAGACAATGAGTTTTGAGAACTTATAATACTTATCACGGCTGAAGTTCTACTTGATGAAATGACTTTCTAGAATTCTTTTTTTCTGTCTCTCATGATAACCAGCTTTGTTTCTTCAGCTGGTAACTAAATGAACGCATGTGGAGCAACGTCCCAGCTGACATGTGGTTTCAGTGAGAAATAAACTTTGTTGTTTAAGCCATTATTGTCTGGGAGTTGCTTGTTATCTTAGCATAATACAGCCTAGCCTGACTGTTAACATGGCATAAACTTACATCGTCTTCAGGTCTTTAGGTCTTGACTTACATGTAATCTTTTCCTCAAGGCCTTAAGATTGCACCCATACCCACCCCATCACTCTACCCCCTTCTCTACTTTAATTCCTGTACAACACCTATCTTAATATAACATCACATAGTTTGCTCATATTTTATTATTCATCTCCTCGTGCCACCAGAATGGAAGCCCCTGAAGCAGTGATGGTCTGAGTTTGAGTTCCACTGAAAGCAGACCCTTGAGACGGGGGATTTGGTGTTGCTTGTTCATTTGGAAGATGATTCTGAAGGATACAAGAAAGGGTATTGGGGGAAAACCAGAGGAGAAAGGAAAATCAATAAAGGAGGCATTAGTAAACTGATTACTGCTGCGAACAATTCTTTGGAGATCCTCTGAGAAGCCCTGTTGAACTGAAATTCTCATATGTTTCCTACCTAGAGACAGAAAAACTGGAGTATTGTCCCCAACTCTTGCCATGGTTGGATGTAGGGAGGCTTAAACCTCTGGCACATCCAGACTGACTTGTGCATGGGCTGAGCAAGCTTGCCAAGTGCAGAGAAAGCCTTCTGGCGGAGAAGCACAGAGGTAGACACGGTTCCTATACATAGGAACTGTCCAGCACAGTTGCAGGTGTGTCAAGGGGACATGCTGTGGGGTACCAGCAGAATCTACTGTAGAGATTTTCGCCTTTTTTTTTTTTTTAAATGAGATGGAGTCTCACTCTGTTGCCCAGGCTGGAGTGCAGTGGCATGATCTCAGCTCACTGTGACCTCCACTTCTTGGGTTCAAGCAATTCTCCTGCTTCAGTCTCCTAGCCTCTTGAGTAGCTGGCATTATAGGCACATGCCACCATGTGTGGCTAATTTTTGTATTTTTAGTAGAGATGGGATTTCACCATGTTGGTCAGGCTGATCTTGAATACTTGACCTTGTGATCCACCCACCTTGGCCTCCCAAAGTGCTGGGATTACAGACGTGAACCACCACACCTGGCCAAGGTTTTTGCTTTTTATTCCTTGGTGTATCCCTAGCCCCTAAACAGTGTTTGACAAATTTTAAATAAAAATGAATGAGTACACGATAGTGGACATTCAGTGGATGCGTCCCCACCATCCATTTTCCCTTTTGTAATTAACCCTCTCCCTTTTTTCCCTTGGGATGCTACCTCTCCCCATTTCTCAGCCAGGGGCTTTGTTTGGGATTGGACTGAGGTCTAGTTGCTGGGTGTGGACTACCTCCTCAGCCCTGACTCTGAAGACTTCATATAATTAACCTTTCTGTCTCACCTCCCCCTCACCACCACAGTTGTCTGTTTCAAAATGGACACATGACCCATTTGGGACCAATGAGAGTGAATTTCGTGGTTTATTCTCTCTTTCTCTATGAGGATGTGAGGTCTGGAACAGCTGCAGTCATTTTACCACTATGGGAAACCTGCACCGATTGAACTGACTGCATGAAGCCCAAAGAGAAAGCTAGTAAGAAGGTAGAGAGAGGAGGAAGAGTCTGGGTTTTTGAAAATACCTTTTGGAGCTGCTGGATCCAGCCTCACCTGAAGCTAGAACTAAATCTGCACTTTTAATTTGCATATGCAATAAAAAGTTCTTTATGTTGTAAGCCAGGTTGAGGTAGATTTTCTGTCACTATGGCTAAAAGAACCCTCGCTTATTCTACACCTAACTCACAGGCTTGTTGTGAGGTTTAAATAAAATAGTACTTAGTGAAGTCTGGTACACAAATAACACTCAATGAATGGTAAGCAATCCTGTTGTAATGTATTTCCTTTTACAGAGTTACGTGACCTTTTTATTCTCTACTCCAACGTTGGCATGTTTCTGCTATTCTTTTCAGTATTATTTAATTTCTTCCCCAAAGGAGAGAGGCTAAGATATTTCCCAGCCACAGGCTCTCAACCACCACGCCGAGCATCAGATTCTCCTCACACAGCCACAGCCGGAGAATGATACACGGCCCACGTGGTGTGGTTCTAATTCCTCTGACATCTCATTTTCACTGTTTGGCAATATTTGTCTCATCAAGCTTACACATAAATGTTTTCAGCAAAGTGCTCCAAATGCCTTTTTCAGGAATCTGAATCCACATGAAAACAATGGCAACAAGAGAAAGGTGTAAACTTTCCAGAACAGGCCCAGGATTTGGAAATGTGATAAAGACGTTATTGTGCGCCCGAACTTTTCACACAAGAATTGGAGGAGATTTAACACATGGAATAATAAACAGAGGGAGGCTGGCTAATGCGGAGCAGATGGGCCTGCAGGGCAGTGCTCAGCATTTCAACGTCTTTCCCCTTGGACCTTTGGACTCAAGGTGCCTGCATGCTGGTGTCTTTAGCTAAAAATAAAACTACTGCCTTTGGGGCCGTCATAAATATGGCTCATTTGATTTCTGGGGTGATTGGTGGACTAAAGTTTTCAAGAACCTACTATGTGAAAGGCATTTGACATTCACTGATTTAATCCTAACCACTACTCCATTTTGAAGGAAAAAAATGAAGGCTCTGAAAGTGTAAATCACTTACCAAAGGGTACACAGCCAGGATGAGTGTGGAGCCAGGATCACCCCAGGTCTGTCTCATTGTGTATGTCATGGCTCTGCAAACTGGGGCAATAGGTGAGCAGGGAAAAGAGTCACAGCCACATAAAATTGAGACGGTCTCTCTCTCTCTCTCTCTCTCTCTCTCTCACACACACACACACACACACACACACACACACACACACTTTTACATAGTAATAGCCTTATTAAGGTATAATTGATGTACAGTAAGCTGTACATTTTTCTTTTTGAGACAGAGTCTCACTCTGTCGTCCAGACTGTAGTGCAGTGGCACAATCTTGGCTGACTGCAACCTCCGCCTCCTGGGTGCAAGTGATTCTCTTGCCTCAGCCTCCTGAGTAGCTGGGATTACAGGTGCCCATCATGATACCCAGCTAATTTTTGTATTTTTAGTAGAGATGGGGTTTCACCATGTTGGCCAGGCTTGTCTTGAACTCTTGACCTCAGGTGATCCACCCACCTCTGCCTCCCAAAGTGCTGGGATTACAGGCATGAGCCACTATGCCCAGCCAGCTGTATATATTTAAAGAATAATATTTGATACGTTTTGACAGTGTCTGTAGCTGGGAAACCATCACCACAATCGTGATCGTGAGCATATCTAATACTCTGAAAAGTTGCCTCCTGCCTTTTGTAATTTCTCTTTGCCATCCCGCCTGTCCCTCCCACTCCTGATCCCAGACAACCACTGACCTGCTTTCTGTCACTATAGATTAGTTACATTTTCTAGAATTTTATATAAATGAAATGATACAATATGTACTGTTTTTTTCTGTCTTTCACTCCTGAAATTATTTTGAGATTCATTCATGTTATTGCTTGTTTATTCCTTTATATTGCTGAGCAGTTATTCCATTGTATGAATATGCCACAATTTGTTTATCTATTCATATATATATATGGACATCTATAGATGTTTGCACTTTTGGGCTGTTAAAAATCAAGTTGGTGTGAATGTTCATAGACAAGTCTTTGTCTGACATTTATTTTCTTTTGGATAAAAACCTAAGAATGAAATGACTAAATTATATTGTCGGTACATGTTTAACTTTTAACGAAACTGTTAAAACTCTTTTCCAAAGTAGTTGCACCATTTTACATTCCTACTAGTAGTGTGTGAGAGTTCCAGTTCCCCCACATCTTCACCAACACTTGGTATGGTCAGTCTTTCACATTTTTGTCATACTAATTGGCTGAGGTGGGAGGATTACTTGAGCCTGGGAGGTCAAGGCTGCAGTGAGCTATGATCACACCACTGCACTCCAGGCTGGGTGACAGAGCGAGATCCTGTCTCAATAAAAAAAAAGTAGTCTGGGGGCTGTTTGGTGGGGTGTCCTTTATGCAGAAGGCAGATGGTTCACAAGGAATTATGAGGTTTTTATCAGATGAAGGCACACTGTGCACCAGATAGAAAAATACGTCCCAGCAGCTAGGAAAGCCTCAGGGGCAAAGACAGAGGAGGCCGTGGAAGGTGGGACCAGGGCAGTAATCTCCCAAACCTGGTTACTCTTACCTATTGATTATGGCTAATGAAATCTTACATCAAAATGCTCTGGCTTGTATCCATTAAGCATTTATTATATGCCAAGTGTTTCGGTTATCTATTGCCGCATAACAAACTGCCCCAGAACTTAGTGGCTTCAAAGGACTACTTTATTATTTTTATTCATTCATTCATTCAGAGATAGAAACTCTTGCTGAGTTGCTCAGGCTGGACTAGAACTTCTGGGCTCAAGCAATCCTCCCACCTCAGTCCTACACTTCTGTGGGCAGTAATGTGGGCAGGGCTTGGCTGGGCAATTCGGTTCTGTTTCATATGGCATTGGCTGAGGTTACTCGGGGGTGGCCAGCAGATGGCTGGGCTTTTTTTTTTTTTTTTGGAGAGCCTAACCCAGCCTCATTCACATGCCTGGTACCTTGGAGGGACTGGCTGAATGGCTGGGCTCTGCTGGGACTATTGATCATGGCACCTACATGCAGTCTTTACCGCATGGTGCTCAAGGGAGTCAGACTTCTTACGTGGTGGGGCCAGGCTCCCAGAGACCATGTGCCAACACACCTGGGGGAAAGCTGTGAGGTCTCCTATGACCCAGCCTCAGAAGCCCCAGAACATCACTTCTGCTTTACTTTACTGGCCAGTCAAGCCACCCAGGCTAGCCCAGGCTCAAGGGGAGGGAAGCTAGACTCCCCTTTTCAAGGGGAGGAATAGCAAAGAATTTGCACCATCTTTAATCCACTACATTAAACAAGCACTTTGCATGTGCGACCTTGCTTAGTCCTCTCAACAGCCCTATGGTGGGTGCTGTTGGTGTCTTGGTGGCTTAGAAGCACCTCCAGCTCCCCACGTGGATGTCCTGGATTCAAAATGCATCTTCTTTCCTGTACCAAACACTCTCTCCTTATCACCTTGGTTCACTAAAGACACCTACAGCACCCTACAGTGAAAAATAAGCACTGGGAGGAGAGGTGCATGCTGAGCAGTCATTACAGCATCGTAGTAGATTATGCATTCTTGAAGTTTCAGCTCTCATGGCTTCATGGATGAGAGCTGAGGCTCTTGATGGGATTCACCCCCATCTGAATCAGAGGGCTGTAATGGAATAGGGCAAAAGGAGACATTCCATTGCAGACGAAGTCAAGCTACAATGAACAACCACAGCCAAAGGTAATAGAAGAAAGAAAAGAAAAGACAAAAAACACTTATTACAGAAGGAGGATGGCGAGTTACTGAAAGACCAACAGTTTACCCACATCATAAAATTCTGGAATGAAGATGCGGCCAAGTTTTTTCTTGAGTCTTTTATAGGAGCTTTAGTATTTCTTGAATTCAACATGTGCAGGCAACTGAATGGATGTTGGGTGGCAAGCAGACCACCAATTTTAGGTACATGTTTCAAAAGACTCATCAAATTTTTATAAATAATAATAAAGCATAATATTTTAAACTTATTAGTCATTTTCACATCAGTAATGGGGAAATATTGGAAGTTAATCATTTTCAAGTTCTGTATCTGGGTCTATGGTATCTGTTTCACAACAAGTCATTTTTAAATGGTTTTCACACTTTTTATTTCTGTAGATCCTAATTCATAATTACAGGTGGTTGCAAATGACAGTAAGTTCTTGGTGGCTATCTAAAATTATTCTGAGTATTTAGATAGAAAAGGACCCCAAAATTATGTTGTGATTTCATACGAAACACTAACTTCAGTGTTTGCAAGATGCTAAGTTGACAAACATACTTTATTCAGAGTATTGGATGGTTCAACGCTGGACCTAGCAGCAAATGGATTCTGTTGTGGTTTGAACTACATCAGCTTGCTTAGGCTGGAGTTATGTTTCCCAGAATCCCCTTCTCCAAGTGGTCTCCAGTTAGAATTAGCCCAAAGAAGAATTTGCACGAGGTTTGGAAGGCAGAAGTGAAGCAGCAAGCGTGAATCTCTGAAGATTGTCAGGGCTGGGTGTGACAGGCAGATGGAGAGGTGCAGGCGGGTTCCATTTGTCCTTCCTGACCTCCTCTCTGTGACCTGGTATTCCTCCCTGCTGATGACCATGTTGACCTGCAGGGGTCCTGGCCCATCACAAGATGCACGGGAAATGTAATTTGTTTATCATTTCATCTCCAGTGCCTGGTGCAGAGCCTGTCTTATCAGTATCTCAATGTTCATTGAATAAACACATGTGCGTGTTTTGATGTGCATTGATTTTGGGCTACCCAGCACTGGGAAATAATAATACAATTTTCTTCTGGAGAATCATCCCTGTCCCACATTTAGTCAGTGTATGTTGGGTAAAGTTTATTTCATCCCTGGCTTCACTGACCACATGAGTTCAGCCAGGCCCATCAAATTACTACATTCCCTTGGCTACAGTGATTGACTTGGGGATGGAACACAATTCAGCTTGAGCCAATAAGATGTGGTGAGTCTTGTGCTGTGACTGTCCCAACAGAGGCCCATGACCTTTTCTGCAGTACCTGAACCTGGGAGGATACAGGCCTGAGTCTGTGGGCAGCCACTTTGGTGCCACACTGAGCCTGAGAATGAAGCCAGCATTGTGAATAGCAAAGTAACGAGAAGAAAGAAGACTGGGTTCTGATAATATTTGAGTCCCTGGACTGAGCTGTGCCTGAAGTCACTGTCCCCTGGATTTCAATGATATGAACCAATAACCACCCTCTGCCATAATTTTTCCCCTCAAACCACCGTGGAGTGGGATTTCTGTGATGTGGAGCATACAATTTCCACTCATACCGAATTGTTTTCAATTTCCCTTTAGGAGCAAAACACCTTTTTCAAATGAATGTTTATGCAGAGCTGCGTTACACAGCAAGGTTAACAGCAGCGCTCATGAGGACCAGGCCTTGCTCTCCTGCTCTCCTGCTCTCCTGCTCTCCTGCTCTCCTGCTGTCCTGCTCTCCTGCTCTCCATCACCCAAGTTCTGAAGCAGTTCCTGATGCCTCTGTGGAATGCTGGTCTTCACAGAACACAGTTAAAAAAATCTTTAATTTAGCCCATGTCTCTTATTTTAAAGGTAAGAAAACTGAAGTTCAGAAGAGGGAGGGG